AAGCTTAAGTCACTTTTGAAAGCAGGATTTCATAGATTTTGTAGACGTTAGGGCAGGAAGGGACCTCGCAAGATCATTGGGTCCAGCCCCTGGCCCAAGGGGCAGGAAGTCAGCTAGGGTCAAAGAATCCTAGCAAAATAGGGATCCAAATGTTTCTTGAAGGTGTCCAGAGTAGGTGCCTACACCACCTTTAGGGAAAGTCTATTCCAGGCCTGGGAACTCGAACAGTAAAGAAGTTTTTCCTTGTGTCCAGCCTAAAATGGTCTTCCAGGAGTTTGTGACCATTGGACCTTGTCTTCCCTTGGGGTGCCCTGGTGAATAGACGTTCTCCCAGTTCCTGATGCACACCCCTTATGTTCTTATAGGCTGCCACCAAGTCATCCCTGAGCCTACACTTCTCCAGGCTGAAGAGTCCCATGGCTCTCAGCGCTCTTCATAAGGCCTGCTCTCTTGCCCTCTGATCATGTGCGTGGCTCTCCTATGGACTCTTTCAAGCTTCTCCACATCCTTTCTGAATTGCAGAGTCCAAAATTTGATGCAGTACTCCAGCTACAGCTTCACCAAGGCCAAGTACAGTGAGAGGATGATTTTATGGGTCTTGCTTGAGATGCATCGGCAGATGCAAGCCAGAGTTTTGTTTGCTTTGCTGGCTGCGATATTGCATTGTTGGCTCATGTTCATCTGGTGGTCAATCATGACCACCAAGTCTCTTTCAGTCGTGGTGCTAGCGAGTGTAGCACTGTCAAGCCTATAAGTGTAATGCAGGTTTTTTCTCCTGAAGTGGAGCACCTTGCATTTCTCCATATTGAATGCCATCAGGTTTTCATTCACCCACCTTGGGAGCCTGTCGAGGTTGGCCTGGAGCGCCAGCCTATCCTCAGGTGTGACCACACTTCCCCATAGTATGGTGTTGTCAGTGAACTTAGCCAGTCTGCTTCTGACACCAGAGTCTAGATCATTTATAAATACATTAAAGAGTACAAGTCTGAGAACAGAGCCCTGGGGACACCACTGGTCACTATGTGCCATGCAGATTTGCTTTCATCAACTACCACTCTCTGGGTCCGACCTTGGGGCCAGTTCCCTAGCCATTGGACCATAAGGTTGTTGAGGTTGCAGTTCTCCAGTTTTGCTATAAGGACATCATGGGACACCAGGTCAAAGGCTTTTTTAAAGTTCAAATATATGATATCAACTTCTTCTTTGTCTAGGTGATGTGTCACTTGGTCATAGAAGGAAATGAGATTGGTCAGGCAAGACCTAACCGCAACAAAGCTGTGTTGGCTATCCCTCAGAATGTTGCTTTCCGTTAGCCTGTTGTTAATGGTTTCTTTGATGATTTTTCGAAGATCTTTCCAGGGGTTGAGGTCAAACTGATTTGGTCTGTAGTTTCCCGGATCTTCCTTCCTCCTTTTCTTGAAGATAGGCACCACATCAGCCCTCTTAAAATTTTCAGGTACCTTGCCCAAGCGCCACGAGTTCTTGAATATTCTTGCCAGTGGTCATGCTATGATGTCAGCCAGTTCCTTTAGCACTCTTGGGTGCAATCTGTCTGGACCAGCTGAGTTTTGGGTGTCCGGCCTCTCAAGGTGTTCCCTCACAAGATCTATGCCAGTGATGGGCATATGTTCACCCTTACCCTAGTGATCCTGCGTCTTTTCAGGCAGGGTGATCCCTTTGGGCTGGTGAAAGACCAACACAAAGTAATCGTTAAGGAGATTGGCTTTTTCCTGGGTGTTGGTTATCAGCTACTCTGGTTTAGCAGGTGTCCAGTGTTGCCCTTCTTTTTTTTCCGACTTCCCATGTATCTGAAGAAGGACTTTTTATTGTCCTTGATTTGTGTAGCCATTTGGAGTTCAATTACAGCCTTGGCTTTCCTAGTTCGCTCCCTACAGGTGCAGACCAGTCCTGAATACACCTTCTTAGTAGTGTTTCGTGTCTTCCATCCTTTATAAGCTTCTCTTTTTAGATGCAGGAGGTCCATATTGAGGCAAGGGGGTTGCCAAGCCCTTTTACTACCTTTCCTATGGGCTGGAATGGACTTCCCTTGTGCTTCAAGGATCTCTTTCTTAAGGAGTAACCATTCATCGTGAACTCCCCTCCCTGTGAATGGCCTCTCAGGGCCTCGACAGCTAGCCTTCTGAGCTTATGAAAGTCTGCTTTCCTAAAGTTGAGGCCTTCTGCATTGCTGACTGACTTACCAGCTGTGCAATGGATAGTGAAAGTGATCAACTCATGGTCACTGTCTCCCAGCTT